TTTCGCTAGTTATGTTAAAATTTTTGCATACTTATAAGTAGAACGTAAGTATGACGAAAAAAACCATGTTCTACTTATTTTCTACTTATCCTACTTATGGGAAAAGAGGTTTTGAGGGTTGTCCTGGAGGAGGTCATCAAACAGTCGAAGGAGCCCGACGCGGCTGTGCGACAGCTGGCGACAGACATCCTGTACGCCTTGGATGCTGTGGGTGTGCTGGTCTCTGAGGTGTATAAGCTGGAAGCCTCTATCGGGCTCATTGGGCCACTATAGAGCACTTACTGGGCGCAAGAAAACGGAGTGCCCGGAATTGTGGGAATTTGTGGGAAATTGTGGGAAAACTTTTGAGAGGTATAATGTGGGAAAGACACTGCCAATTACTTTTAATAAGGGAAATTGTGGGAAGATTGAAAAATTATGAAATTTTTTGTGGGAAAATTGTGGGAAAACCGGGACGGGAAATATTGTTTTTCTTGGTTTTTTTGGTGGGCGGGAAAGCGACAGCAGGGCTTCTTTGTCGCTGTTGGGTTAGCCTGATCTGGCAGCAGGCAGAAAAAGGTCCGCGCGCCGACCAGCTCACACGAACAAGCGAATATATATATATATAGATATTTCTTTTTTATGCGGCTGTATCTGGTTCAAATTTACATGCGGACAGAAAGAATCAAAACCTTCAAAAACACACCATGTGCTACTTACCGTCGCACTTGTGCTACTTATTTGGTAAGGTCACAAGTTGCATAAGTATACTTATGTTACATATAAGTATAAGTATCGTAACAGGACTTATAAGTAAAAAAACATCTTGTAGTGTGTGGAGGCCTGGCGGCCTGGTTTGTTTCTCTACCTTCAGGCGACAACTTCGGGCTGAATCCCACCGTCGGCGCACGTGCTGGGCGATTCCGAAAACCCATAGGGAGCACTTTTGTGCAGGGGTAGCATACATGCTCTCTCAGCTCTGGCGGTATCAGGCCAGGAGGGAGAGACTCGCTTGAAACCACTACGTTCTCATGGGCCTCAATGTGGAAAGGGGACATACCGAACCAATGCGGCATGATCTGTATATCCCCTGCCATTCCCTGGCATTGAGTGGCACCAGATTCATGATGAGTCGGTAGATAGGAATTCCCTCAGCCTCTTCGTTGTTCTCAACCCTGTGACAGGCCGTTGAGCAACAATTTCGACCCAACCCTGAAAACCTCTGATTCAGGGACCACTCCAAAAATCCCCGCCTCAAGCAATCCTTGGGCCACATCATACCAGTCGTCATCCTTGACGATGACGCGGCATCTTCTAAGGGGCCCCCACTCACTTGGAGACTTCAGGTAGGAGGGGAAGTTCTCCACATAGTGCCTACATCCCTGTTCGCAGATGTCAACTAAACGGGCCACACCTATATCTCTTTGGGTAAGGCAGGTTTGATGCTCCTCCAACAGAAACCCAAAGCCGTGTCTATGGTCCGAGTGCGAAAGAAGTCACCCCAAACCCCGGAGGATTCGGGCCTGCATCTTGGAAACCTCCGGCAACTCCATCTGCTCGATGTCGTTCCTGACACAAAAGTTTCTGGCGCCCCCAAAAGGAATTCAAAGACATGCAAATAGAAATCAACCAATCCACTGTCCATGCAAGTTCCTCGAGTAGGATGGGCAGTAATTGTCCACGGAGGGTTGGAAGGCGAAAGGTATCCGTTTGCTTTGTCCGTGGTGCTTTAGGGTACTTTCCCCCTCCATGGGCTGGCTGCAGAGCGAAGAAACCCCCCTCACGGTCCGAGGGGATGTTGTCTCGCGCCAGGCCACTTGATATCCCTTTGGGAAAATTCATAAGCGCCTGCGGCGGGAATGATGCATCCGCCTCGGTTCCTCAGGGCCAAAGCCCCCGTCTTCGTTGCGCCCCCGTGTGGCCGATCTGGCCCTGCGCCAGCTGTCATACTCGTTGTGTCATCCACAGGGCCTGCGCCGCGCGTCTCTGGCTGTATCCCAGGGCATTTCAGCCCCGTCATACTCATACTGCTGCTCTTCACCAACTTCCCAAGTGCCACAGGGTTCGAAACCCCCGTAACCTCAGGTTGAAGGTCTCGTCGGTCATTGTCCCTTAGGCCTTCTCCTTTCCCTTCTTCCCTTTTCCTTTTCCTTTCTCCTGACATTCTCCTTTGCTTGACTCCTTCCCTGCGCCCTTCGACCACCACGCTCCGGCCTGATGCGCTTGTGCCTCGGCGCGCTGCTCCGTGGTGGCAATCCGGAGCTCTTGCCTTGACGACAATGCGGCTGCGCCGCTCGGAAGGAGTTCTAATCGTTGGGCAGATGTCCAAGCGAGGCCAGTGATCTGCGCTTCCAACGACTTCACTCTTTGGATGAGCGTGTCCATGGCGTCGGGTAGCTGGCTGACCCAGTGATCCCCGAATATAGTTTACCCTTTGTTGCTTTGAGACTTCTGGGCGAATCTCTGAGCCTTTCGTCGGCGACGATTGCGAGCCTTCTTCAGGCCTGGGGTCTAGTCCACTCCCCCCGAACATCACCTTTTGATCCACCGCCTTGCGCTTCACCTCGGAGCTGGACGTTGACGACCTGGAAGTACTCGATGGGCTCCTGGCTCGCTTCTTTCGTTTTTCTTTTTTCTTCTCTTTCTCTTTCACCTCTTTCACTTCCTCCTTCTGCTTTTCTCCTGCTTCGTGATCTTTTTCTCCTGGGGCCTCGATCTCCTCCATCCGGCTCTTCTCACCAAAAAAATTCAATACCCTGCGCCGGAGAGGTTTTGGAATGGAAGACTTTCCAAAGAGATTTAAAATCTCGATAAGAGATTTAAAATGCAAAAAATGTTTTAAATGAAAATCTTAGCAACAATCAACTCAAAAAAATCTCAAAAAATCTCGAAAAATCTCGAAAAATCTCAAAAAATCTCGAAAAATCTCAAAAAATCTCGAAACATCTCATAAAATCTCGAGGGGATAAAAGGAAAAATCATTTTAACAACTCAAAAAATCTCGAAAAATCTCGAAACATGAGAAAAAAATGCAAAAAGATGCAAAAACATAATTTCACATGCAAACTGGAGCGTGATATGACTGCTGCAGTCAGTTGTGTTCAGCTGTTAGGATAACTTCTCCCCAAGAAACACAATTTGATTAACCATGTTGTGTTTGAGGTGTTTTCACCAAAAATAGTAACTTTTTTAAAACAAAAAATAAAATGAAAAATAAATGTGAAAAATGTGGAAAATGTTTTAAAATGTGAAAATATGATCAAAAATGTGGAAAATTGATAAACACATGTGAAAAATGCAAAAAAAGTAAAAAACATAAAATTTCACGCGACCCTGCTCTGATCTAATCCTTCTCTGATCTAGGTGATTGAATTTTTCTGGTGATCTTCAATCCTGCTAGCTCGTCCCCTTCGCGCCTCCCTGCACTGACGAGGACGTCTCGCCAGGGGAGATCTCGAAGGTCTTACAGGGTGTGAATACCCCGATGGTTTCCTCCTGGACCTTCTGCATCTCGTCCGCAATCCGGCGAACTTTGGTGTAACCCGTAGTGCCGCGGAGGGCTTCCAAATCTGTTCCGAAAAGCTTCACCATGTAGTATTTCCCCGACAGGCCCTTCCACTCCTCCATGACCTTGCCAGAGAATTGGCAGGGAATCCCGAAATAGGTCGCCTCCTGCCCATGGATCAGCTTTCCAGCCTCCAGCTCCTCTCTGGGGGCAAGGACCGGTCCCCGGTCCCCCTCGTCCAGTGCTGCTGGTCTTCTCACCACGCCCAAACGCCGGGGCGCAGCTGCTGGCCTTCGCATCGCTTTCGGTGCCATCTCTGACCTTTCCCTTTGCCTTTCCCCTTTGCTCGGCTCGGCTGGCGCCGCCGCTGTAATAGAGTTGACCTCTGATGACGCGCTTGAGTCCTTTCCACTTCTTTGGCTTCTGATCTTCTCGATCGCGGTAGCCTGGAGGCGAATAGGATGGCGAGCGTGGTCTGCGAGGCAGCGGCTTGCGGGCCGATGGTTTGGCAGTACGCCTGAGCTCAAGCCTGTTTCCTGTCTCCGCGTCGTCTTGCTCCTCCTCTTCGGTATGAACCAGTGCCAGTTCTTCTTCTGGCTGCTCCTCGTGCTCTTCTACCCTGGCTGAGGGGCTGGGCTTCTCCTCTTGTGTCTCCTCAATGCCACTGGTTTCAGGGTCTGGAGTCCCCGACTTGTCCTTCCTCTCCTTTCGCTTTGAACGATGCCTTGACCTTGATCGCTTTGTATTGCTCTTTGATCTCCTCCGTCTCCGGGATCTGTTTCGTCTTGTTTGCTTCTGCTCCTGCGCGTCCACCAGGGGCTCTTTCCCCGAATCTGCCTCCCGCTCCTTCTTTACTGGGACGGTGTCCGAAGATGCCTTCCTCGTTGAAGAAGCTCGCTGGTCTTTCTCTCCGCGATGAATTACCCTTTCGAATGAGTCTCCACCTGCTCGACTGGCAAGAACCTTCTCACGGGCACCAGGGATCGGCTCCCCGTGGTCAGTCACAAAGCCAGCGGTACGGTCAGCTTCAAATTTTTCACAAGTCCTTTCCAAGGTTGTAGTGACTGTCTGGATGTATTCAACCAAATCACCAGCAGTATGCGGAGGGCAACGCGTGAAGACAAGTCGTTCTATACGAACAACTGGCCAACAGGGATCACAGTACCCCGACGATCCGACTGGCTTGCGGAGTCTGAAGTTGCACCCGTTGCGGGTGCTCATCCACCTTCCTGAAAGCCGAAACACTACGGAATAAGATAATAAAGGTGTGTTACTCTTTACTCCCGGGGGCGGGAAACCATATATATATATATACTTTGATTTTCTTTAGTATCATGTCCTGGTCTTGCAATGCCTCGCTCTTGTTTCAACCACAGACCATGTTGGCATGATAACGCCCAAGGAACACAAGGAGACAGAAGCAAACAAGGGTGACAATCAAGGAATCAAACAACCCTTGGCAGCATTGACTGACCGACCCAGGAAACTGATGTTCTGCTTTGACTTGGGGCTGGACAGTTTTGGTAAAGATTCCACATCCAGACCGCCCCTTGGCGCTGATATTCATAGAGCCTCTCGTAGACGGGACGGGGAAGCTTCATGTCTGCGCCACCGCAAGACAATGAGCACACCTAAGTGCACTGGGCGAAAATCAAGCATTTTTATATGCTTATACTGTAGCTGATATGATTCTGCGAACAGATTAATTTCTTGTTGCAGCTGGCCAGCATCCTCCGACACATCCCACTTGCCAGTTGCCTCCGGTGGCAGCATGCCTGTCCATTGGTCTGCCTTAAAGTGGGCAAGTTTGAACAAGCGCACTCAGGATAAAAGTACGCACGATATGAACGCCACTTGCCCTCAAGAAACCTCAGTGTTACAAATGCCATCAAATGCCTAAGTATTGCAAAGGGATCCCATCATCAAAACCTTCAACTTCAAGAAGTGCAAAACGAGAGCGACGACGAGTGCTTTAGCCGCCCTTTATTGCGCACGTGCTGACCTCCAAAACCCCACCGACCTGAGCTCTAGTGGGGACTGACTCAACATCACAAAAGGTTGCAGGTACGTGGATGCAGCGTCCGGAATCCATATCAGTGATTCACCATGGGTTTCACACACACAAGCATTGAAGTATTGTTGTTTCCTGTCAAGGTTCGCAGAGATTGCATACTAGTTTGTAGTGGTACTAGTTCGTAGTGGTGCAATGCCCTGGGACCACCTGTCTTCCGAGGAGCTTGTGCGCATGTCCTGAGGTTGCTTTGGGGGGGCCATAGCTGTTCTGTGTTCCTCAAAAGTAGCGCGGCCTGCGTTGCTGAGCAACCCGACATCCATCTTGCGCGCTCCTGGGGTGGTTTGTTTCATGAAGAATCCAAGGGGGTCAACATCCACAAGATCCCATTTCCAGTTCGTCGGGGTGTTGCCACCTTCTTTGGAGAGTTTCTCTTCTGTATCTGGCCATCCATCGCCAAGTCTTTACGCGATAGGACAATGTCCTTCAGACTGTCCTTCAGCTTCTCCTGCAAAGCCGACCTCAAGAGGATTGAAAACTAGGAAGGGCGTCGTCTAACTGCAACTCTTTCGAACATTCCCATTGCAAACTGGCCACAAACCAAAGACTGATTTCGCGGCCCTGCTCCAAGAGTTTTTCAGATCCTTTGTGTAGAAAACCCGATAAGTTGTGCATCTGCAAAGATCTCGCAAAAAGTAGTCTATATAGTCTACAAGACTTGGAAGAGCGGGCTGAAACTCGAGACACTGAAGGTGTTGCTGCACGTTCTGGTATGTCACTGCGAAACAGGGTTTTTCAATGTTTTTCGTTCCACGGAGGAATGCCATGTGCATTTCAGCTGTGCTGTTCGCTGTTCTAGTGGGGCTCTGGCCAAGGGATCCGCTCGACTGGCCGTGGAGGCCGGCGGACTGCTAACGTGGGCCGGAGAGCCCGGCTCAGCAGAGCCTCTGGTAACCCCAATCAATGCATATCCCAAGATGAAGAGAAGAGTCAGTCAAAACATTGAAGCAAAGCATTCAAACACGAATTCAGAAGGAAAAAAGGTTCTCTGAGGAAGGCCTTTTTGTTTCCAAGTCAACATTGCAAGAAACATCTGACTGCCCTGGTCAGCATGCCTGACATGTCACTCTCATCTATGTCGATAAAGGCATTTCTCACCACAATTCCTGGCAACCAGGGGAAACGTGCAATCGTGATAGTTCCCTCCAAAACTCGTTTCCCAAATACTACTCGCCCACTGATCGAACAGCAAACAGGATCACACAGTACCTCCTTCACCTTGCACAACCTGTTACAGTCATTGTCCACACCCTTTCACACTCACTACCCGCAGATCAACTCTCAAGGGCATCGCTGAGAAACCCCACTGAGTGGAGAATCAATTTCTTGCTGTACCGCGTTCTCATCCTCCTTGGTTTCTTCGCTGTCTGGGGAGACTGGCGATTCCTGAGACTCCGATGACGGTGGAATCATCTAGGCGCAAGCGGCACAGGTCAACAGGGTCGCGAACATCAGTCTTGGTGTATAGGACCTGTGTAGGAGTAATTAGGAGAGTGTAGATGGATGTTCAAGACAGCTTCCAATGGCAACCACTTGTTTTCAACATGCGGTGTGGTTGATCAATATTCGTTCATGATGAAATGTCCATTCTTTGCGGAAAAATCATTCGTGGCTTCATCGCGAAACATTGCCCTAAAACCAAGTGTGTGGGAGCTGTTTTTATGTATCAGCAAACCTAGAGAGCCGAGAGTGCTGCAATCAAAGCCTTCTAGCTAGAAGGCTTAACTTTGCCATGTTAAGAAGACAAAGTGCGCTTTAAGGCTTATGTAGGCCAAAAGGCTTATCTTGCCAGTGTCCAGGCTTGCTTATGAGCACTAGCACCCATATGCAGAGGGTTTATGATTGTAGCTATGGTTATAGAGCTTCGATGTGGAATGGCTACCGCCCCCACCTGGAAGCCTCTAAGCGGAATGGCTTCTAAGTGGGGGGGGTAGAGGAAAAATATAAACATCAACACACAATAAGATGTATATCCTAGAGTATCCTTCGAGTGTTCATGGCCGGGGCCACGCGTTGACCGTGTTTTTTCTTGAATGTTGAGATGCTTGGAGTTGTAAAGCTCACGCACATGATTTGTTGAGCGGTGCTACATGTGTGTCGGCCACACCTTTTTTGGGGGTGAAAGCGTAATCTCTAGCTTCCGCAGATCGAGTCCGTCGGTTTTTCACTGCACACAGATCGAGCTCAGTCTTTTGCAGGGCGCGGTGTTAATTGCAAGCTGCTCAAACAGTGGTTTTGCAGGTTCATGATTCAAGATCTCTAGAGCAAGCTTTGAAAGGTGTTTAGCCCTATGGTGGGCGTTGCGCATGTTCAATGCATATAGTGCTGTAGGTAACGTAGTATACTATGATTTACCACGCTTTCAGGAACTTGCCACAAAAGAGGTTTCACAGAAACCTGTTCAATGCTGTGCTTTTGGCGCGCGTGCGTCGTAGCGCTGATGTTGCAGCTGCTCTCCGTGAGCGTTGCGTCCAGCACCAGGCGCCCTCCTCTCCGCTACCATTCTGTGTTTGTCAGAGCATTTGCATTGCATGTCCTGAAGCTAGACTTGCAAGTTTGAAAAGTAAGCTGCTGTCACATGCAGCTTTTTGAGCAGTAGCAGTGAAAGCAGCCATGGCCCTCAAGTGTCTGAAGACACGACATTTGAAGAAGGGTTCGCAAAGGGCCCCAAAGGCCAAGCTTTCTGCAAAGATGGGTGCGCACAAGAGATTTCGTGTATCCATCAACAATATGCACCCTGTGCACTCGAAACTGTTCCTTGGATCTAAACACCGGTGGACTATTTTTGGTGCAATGATATGCAAGGTTTGAATTGAGGTTCCAGGGTCACCAAAACATGTATTTGACACTGCCGTTTGGATAAAGGTTCCCAACTTCCTCGCCAAGGTTTGTAAGGTGGAAATGTTTTGTTTTAAGTGCAAAACCAGAGAACGGGGCCCTACGCACCAGGGATTGGAACATCTGAGGCTCAACCTTTTGATGATGGCCGGCCTTCCATTCACTTTGCTGGCGCTTCTGGATAGCGTATTCCAGTCGATGACGTGTCCCACGGTGGTTTCGTGGCTGAGTCAAGATATATGTTTTGTGTTGTCGATGACATGTCCCAAGGTGGTTTCGTGGCTAGTCAAGACTATGTTTTGCGTTGTTTCGCATGGATATTATCTGAATGGTCATGTAACAGCGGGCCTTCAATGTCCCTGCCGGTCTCCCTTGAACACTTTTTCTCAGGCGCTATCTGCGGTGGAGATCTTTGCTGGCTGCAAGAGCATCACTGGAGGTTTCAGGCATGCACAGAGTGAACAGTTTCCAAGCCTAGGGAGTGTGGGCCTTGTGGTTTAGTCCCTGCATGTTCAACCCTCAAGTCAGGGCCTTCAACCCTCAAGCGCTAAACTGACCTCATGCATTCAACCCTTAAGTTCATGACATGGCCAGTCATGCTCTGGGCAGTTTGATCTCTTGCATCGCCTGCAGGGCCATTGGCCATAGCGCTGCCAGCTTCGAGCTTGACGATTCACCGCTGGAGAACTTTCTAAGTGGCATCGGTTTCATGGCTGGCAAAGATGAAGTATATAGTCTGGAGATCATATAAGGAAGTACCACAAGTCCCAAACGTAAGTAAATCAAGAGTTCCATCCAACAAACAAGAGGATATGTGAGTTTAGCTTTACGTCGCAACTCCCTCTGGCAGCACCAGGCTTTGCATACGCCCTAGCTCTCCTCTCCAGGCTGCACAGCACGGATACTTGGTTTGCGCAGTTAGAGTCCATGTAGAAAGACCACAATATATCAGAACAAAAGTCACAAAGACATGTCACATACAGTATATAAATACAACAGTACAATATAGTCAGTACAGTGTCTTGTCGGCAAATCTTGATGCGCATCCCAGGGGGGCCTTCTATGGTTGGCGCCGGTATGCTCGAGCTGGGTTTGGGTCAATAGGCTGGGCACAGCGCATGGAAACTAAGAGCGGTGGCCTCCAACCTATCAGCGATGGCCTTCAACCTACTAGCAATGGCCTCCCACCTAAATGGGAACCTTTTGAAAACGCGCACTCTTTAGATCTCTTTAGAAGTACTGTGCATCGACCTGCGCAGTGAAACATCCATATCCACTCTCAGGGCCACATCCTGTCGCAGCCGCGAATGTCCACTTGGAGATCGCTCCAAGAGCTTTGTTCAAGATGCGACACTTGGTTTGCTGTTAGTTAGTGAGACAAACGCTTACCAAAAAGGACAGTGAGCATCTGTCAGTGACTTTAAGCAGTATTCATAATGCAAGGCTTTCACCAACAGTTGCAGTGACCGCAGGTTTGCCCAAACCCATCAAGCCTTGTGAGACTTGTTCTTTTTGCCTTTGCCCATATGCCTTGCAGTGGCTTGGAGTACGATTCAGAGTCATCAACTTCGGAGACGCACAGCAGCGCGCCAGGGTGGGATTGGCAGTCATGTGCTCCAAATAAAGGAGCCACTAAGTACGTTCGTGCCTTGCAGCTACTTGGCATTGACCTTGCAAAAGCTGTCCCGGAAAAGGTCGTTGCGGAGGCTATCACTTCGCTGCCAGACCCGGTAGGGGATCTGATTGTGGGGAGGTTTGGAAAGAAGCCGACGCGAGAGCGTTTGCTGAGATTAGGCTGCACTCAGATTTCTTTTCCAAGGAAGATGTCAAGTGTTTTCAGGTTGAACAAGTGAACACACCAACCCGATGAATCTATGACCTCTCTAAGGATCAAAAACTTTTGGGCTATCCATTGCATCCTGAAGTTTGTGCCCTTTCAATCCCGGAAGCCTTCCAAACCAGAGCTGGAGATTGTGCTTACATCGTTCAATGAACAGTTCAAGGCCTGCTTCTTGAGGTGACCTTCAAAACAAAAACCTTACAACACATCCCAGCATTTCCCAACCGGCAGGGCCTTGCAATCCGCCAGTGCGGCGATCATGTGCCTCGGTTGTGGGAAAGTTGTTTATCACACAATGAGCCCTGCAGCTGTATTGTATTTAGAGGTGAAAAGAGAGGTGTATCAAAGGTGTATCAGGTCTGCCTGTCTGTGTTTAGAGGTGTTATGAGTTCTTTGAAGAAGCAACTAACAGACTGTCTTTCTTTTGAAACAACGCGTAAGGACTATGAAACCATGCTGGAGTCGATCCTGAGCAAGATCCAGAAACTATGGTCTGGGCTTCGAAGGACATGAGTTCAACAGCTCAATCAAGTGAAGTTTGCAGAGATAAAGAAGGATGATTGTAAAACACATTGGAAAATGCGTGGTAGAGTCTCTGGTAGAGTATATTTAGTTTGGGGGGATGAGTGCTATTGCTTGAGGAAGTGGCAGAACTCCAAGCATAGCAGCCGCAATGCTTGGGTACAGGTCTTGAAGGATCTGATGCGCAATCACAGCGCTGATGATCCAGGGCTGGACGCTGAAACTGACCAGCTGGGCGGTAGTGGGGACGATGGAAACAGTTCGGAGGATGATCCTATCCCAGAGAACTTCTTTGGAATACCAGATCGTCCAGCATACACCTCCAAGTCAACCTCTTCAGAACCTGCCCCTGAGTCTGAAGTTGAAGACCCACGGGACCATCATGTCAGGGTCTAAGTTGTCAGTGCTGCTTGTTTGCCAACCAATAATTGTTTTGTGTCTAGTGGAAAACTTACATGGTGTCTCTAGGCGATGGTGCCACACGAGGAGGCCGACGGTTCAGACAATGATTCCAAAGATGTGGAGCCCTCACCGACTCGCCATGCTCACAACCATGCTTTGGTTCTCTTCAACCCGCAGGAACTGGTTGCAACGCAACAGTTTGTTGTTTAAAGTGATATGTCAAGTCAAATTCCCACATACCATGTTTGTTCAATATGTAAATTCGAGACCTGCTTGGATGTCACCTTCATCCTCGAGGGTCCACCATTACCGCCAGCCCTTCTCAGGCACCAAGCAAGCAGGAGAGTGACGAGGAGGATTCGCCATCACCAGTGCACTTGCCACCTCCGACACGCAAGCGGAGGGCGAAGTCCAAGGGTTCGAGTAAGAAGAAGGAAAAGAAACATTCAGAATCATCTAAGACCAAGGATGAAGTTTTGGAATCCTTCCATACCGACTATCGTAACCTGATTTTGTCTATGCCTCGTGCTCTTCAGCCAACCAGTGGTCGACATGGGCAGCACAGCTACACAGTGTTTCTCGACCAACAACATACAGGGTTTATGTTACTGTGAAGGGTGAGCAAACGCATAACACTTTAGGGTGCATGTTTACTACCAATTGAATGACCTATGAACGACGCCATAAGGTGGGTAGCTTCGAAGGCTCGGGTGGAAGTGCTTCTTCGCCAGCAAGCTTTGAAACCCAAATCCGATGTGGCTGGGAAGTTGCTTACCGGTCAGGCTGCCAAATCGAGTCTTGTTTCATGAAGTAGTTTTGAAACCTGTCCAAAAAAGCTTTTCACTTGGGACTGGCTTGGTGCAATGCTCCGGAAGTTCCTTTGCCATTTTGCCAAGCCTGTTTGCTGCAATGCCCAGGATTTCCTTTGCAAAGGATGACGTCCAATCTGCCTGGGACAAGGCGCAGGTCTTGATGGGGATGGCACGTGAGTAGGTGGACGTTAAGTAAATGTTCCATGGATGCTAGGCTGCTAGGCCTTAGATGTGTGTGTTCACGCGGCCAACCGAGCTGTATGATGGTAACATGTTACATGTTGATTCACCTCCAACCGGATGTGTTGATTGACCAGTGTCGCGGCTTTCACACACAGGGCCTATTGTAGCCGTTTGGACATTCAGCTCTTTTTGATGCGCCAGCCCCCTCAGTGATTCTGTTTCCATATGGTCTCAACAATAAGGGGTGACAACTTCCAAGAGTGGGGCTGGCTCTTTCCTTTGGGTTCTATGCAAAGAGCATAGCACGGGGGTCTACAGGCATTAAGCCTTGCAGCTAGGCATGGGCAGTGATCGCAAAACACACAGAAAGAATCCATGCGCACATATGTCCTCATATAAATATATGTCTATGCATGCGGGACACATTTGGTGATAGAAGTGTATCTAAGGAATCGGATGGTCACCCGCTGCTGCATTATGATTTACATATGTTGCAGCCTTGGCCTGCCGTGGATACTGGAGCAGCCCGGATCATCCCTTCTGCAATATCACCCTGACTTCCAGAGGATCTGCGCAAAGTTTACTGTCTACCGGGTGGCCTGGCTAAACAACCAAATGTCACAGCTAGAGTAGCTAGAGTATAGGAGCAGTGTTCGCAACAAGTGATATAGGAGGTTGACATCCTCTGCATGGAGACCCCAAGCAAACCCACAACGTCGCCCAGGTCTTCGTTTGGCTTGGCTCATATGGCGGAAGCAGCGCCTTGTCGAACAGCCTTGAGTTGTGGTCCACAACCTTAGGAGCCAAAGGGCCATTGCGTGAGTGTCCCCATACACAACGGGTTTACTTTAACTTTGTTCCTCGAGGCCCAAAGGGTACACCTCTCTACATGTGCATATGGCATGAGTGTCCCCATTTGCATCCATGTAGTATGCGTTTACTTTAACTTTGGTTCCTCGAGGCCCGAAGGGCACACTTCTCTACAGCAGCTGCAAATGGATCCAAGAGCTTTACTTGCCGCTCCGTTCAGACCGAGAATGGGATGGAGACATCAGCATCAAGTAACTTTGTTTGCATGAACCCTCTACACATGCCAAGAGCTTTTGAAGAGGGTTGAGAGGACACAAGAATTGAAGACCTCTCCTAAATTGGCGTCCAAGGTATATTGATTCTTCAGGGCACCATCGAGTACAAGGAGGACCCGGCTTGAAAGCAAGCCAGTACTACCCAAAATTGTTTGGGCACGCGGTCGCTCAACTATGGGAGCGCTATCAATCCGATGTGAAGCGCTGTGTGCAAGACACTGCGAGACTCATCAGCATATATGTACATGCGTCGTGACCATATATGGGTGTTTGAGTATGGGTGTGCAGGGCGCATGCGACAGTTATGAAACTACTTGAGTATGGGTATATGGTATAGCTCTATACTTGTGCTTAACTTGATCTGAGGAAAGCATTGGCGGCTCGGTCAACACCTATGTCGAAGGCTGTCCTCAAGGACAGCTAGTGCTTGTTTGGGCATGCATGGTGCTGTATATATCTTCAAAAGAAAAGATGCATTCCAAACAGGTTCCAATTAATACCATATATACAGGTTCCAAACAGGTTCCAAACAGGTTCTTCACAAATACATGTCCGAGATATATATAGATATATGGATTGTATATATATATATATTCCTGGATACATGGATGTATAAATTCCCGGATTCCCGGCTTCTCATTCCTAAATTTCCCGGATTCCTGACTTCCCGGTTTCTCGGATTCCCGGATTCTCGGATTCCCGGATTCTCGGTTTCTCGGATTCCCGGATTCTCGGTTTCTCGCATTCCCGGATTCTCGGTTTCTCGGATTCTCGGTTTAGTGATGATATAAATTGTTTGATATATGTATATATATTGTTTGATGTCTATATATATATGGATTATATGTGGATTATATTTTGTTTATATGTTGGTGCATGATCGATCGATCGATGGATCGCGGTCAATCTGCGGCTCCGCGCAGGATGGCGGCTTAGCAGAGCGTGCTGGCCTGCTGGATGTGACACGGGCATTGCGGAAGTGAGGGCGTGGATGACTGGCTGGGTGCCATTCCAATGTGTTCCCTGATAGTTTTGCAAAAAACCATCAAAGATCACAACTTTTTTAAAAAAAATCAAAGCCGGGAATCCGGGAAAAAGCCGGGAATTAGCCGGGAAAACCCGGGAAAATTCCTGGGTTCTGGTGGTGCTGTGGTTTTGCTAGAGAACTGAAGTTTTTTTGAGGGAATCTCATTAAGGGAACCCGGGAATCTGGTTCAGGGAATGGAAGCTGGAAGATTCACCCAACAGTTCATCAGGTTTAGCCAACTCAGAACAAATTAACTGGCCCAAACCTAATTGAGGGCTTGCGAGTGTGCACATTCGCCAGCTGATGAAAAGTATTTGATGATTGATTCACACGAATTGTGTGTGCTCAACTTCATTGTTTTTGATCCCGCTTCGTACAAAACAAGGGTCGTCTATATATATGCTGAATCAAGCGCGGTGCATTTGTAGTGGGAGTGCCTAGCTAGCTGTGCTTTGGGCGCCGCAATGCCTGAAGAAGTGTTCAGGAGGCATCGCGGCAAATCGGCGCCGAGAGGTAGATCTCCCAACGCGAAAGCGTTGAAGAAGGCATCCAAACAGGGGGAAGCATATGTCACCCCTCCGCCCCGGGTCAAGAAAGCATCCCCCCGGTGCAAGTCTGTAGAGAAGGACCATGTCAGGCAAAGGATTTCCTTTGGAGAAAACAGAGTTCATGACATCGTGCCTGAGAACAAAGCGCCCGATCTTCGTGAAGCAGAATCCATTCTACTTGCCCTTAAGGACCCACTTTGTGTTTTGTTGCTGTCACTCCCAATATATATAGCTCAGTCATCCGTTTGCTTTGTTAGTCGACTCCAACCCCATGCATCCAGGACAAGCCTGGCCAAAAGGGGCCCAGTGAGGGTGCTTCAAGTTCAGAGGAGAAACCAAACATGTTCGCTGAGTATTGGAAGAAGTATGAATGTCCAGGGCTCTATCCAAAAGCGCCAGGGGTTTCTGGGAAGCTGAAAAAACGCAGGTTGCCACTAAAAAGAATGAGACAGTGGTGGGATAGATACCGAGTCCATGCAACCCGGGAGGAGACAGAAAGCCAGAAGAAAAGCAAGAAGAGTAAGAGCAAAGGGAAGAAGAATAAGGACAAAGATGGCAAGGCAGACAAGGGTGAGGACAAAAGAAAACATGCCCTGCCTACGACAAGTCAAAGCTCCAAGAAGAAACAAAAACCTGAGGGTGATGTGCCAGAGGAACCAGTGATTCCCAGCATCGACAGTGATGACATGGAGTCGACCGAGGCCAGCGAGGAGTCCGGTGAGGTTCCACTGGAGCCTCAAAAGAAAAAGCAGGGAAAGGAAAGCAAGAAGAAGGCAAAGAAGAGCGATAAGAAGGCAAAGAATGAAGAAGAAAAGAAGGATTGCAAGAAGGATCAGAAGGTAAAGAAAAGCGATATGAAGGAGAGCGAGAAGAAGGATGAAAAGAAGAGTGGGAAGAATGAGGAGAAGAAGGGTGAAGAGACCAGCGAGAAGAAGGAAGAAAGGAAGAGCGAGAAGAAGAAAGAAAAGAAGATCGAACAGAAGGATGAAAAGAAGAGTGATAAGAAGGAAGGCAAGAACGATAAGGATGAAAAGAAGAGTGATAAGAAGGAAAGCAAGAGCGAGAAGGATGAACAGAAGAGCAGCAAGAAGGAGGAAAGCAAGAGCGAGAAGAAGAATGCTGAAAAGAACAGGGACAAGAAAGGTGACACGAAAGAAGAAGAGGAGGAGGTGGACTCAAGTGAGACTGAAGAAGAAGAAGAAGGCTCTGATTCGGAAAGCGCTAGTGAATCGCCAGCTGATGAGCCAGCTCCCAAGAGCATCTTGAAGAAGACAACGGGGCATGAGAAAGATGATGGCAAAGAAGAAAGCTGTGACGACAGCGATGATGAGAGCAGCAGTACTGGTGAAGATGGAAGCGACAAAGAAGATGAAAGTGAAGAAGAGGAGAATGAGGATGAAGAAGAAGGAGAGGAAGGTAGCAGTGAATCAGAATCAGAAGAGAGCACAAAGGGAAAGAAAAGAAAACATGATGATTCAGATGGTTCAGATGCGGAGGAGGAGGAGCAGGAGGAGGACTCGAAAGGGAAGGGGAAGGATATGAAGAAGAAGAAGAAAAAAGGGAAGAAGCACAGCAAGAAAGAGGAGAAGGCCAAGCGAAAAGAAGAAAAGAAAAAGAATGAATGCGAGGACAGCGAGAAGCCTTTGAAGGGGGCAGAGGAGTCGCTATCAAAGAATAGCACTACAAACCGGGCAGAGTGGCAGCAGTTTCAGCGCTGGCTGAAGAATAGCCGACGGTGTCCTGCTAAGATCGTTGCAGCTTGTAAGAGTCAGGACTGCATGGGGTTGAAAACATTATAACCTAACATTCCCAAAATCTGGCTATCAAGGTTCTTCGATCATAGAGTTCAACCTATCAATTCCCAATTCAACTTGCTCTTATTTCAAACCGCAGGAAACTCGACGCCAGCTATTCCTGGACTTCTTGAATTCCGACAAGGACTTCAAACAGGTGGAAGCCAGGTTTGAGGCCCGGCTGATGGAGAGCCAGCGAACTCAGGTGAGGTATGGCTTTCGAAACGATCAGTGGCTCATCAAGAACCATGGGCAACGCAAAGCTGAAAAGATCATGACTAGAAAGCGGCAGTTGGGATTGAGACTCGGTGAACACATATGTTTCGGGTACCACCCACAACAAATGTACCTCTGGATGCCCAAAGCCTCGCCAACACCACTCTGTTCCCATTATCCTGCCTCTTCCAATCCACAGCTTCCAGCGTGTCCAATCCATATGCATCCTCACGCGGTGCACCGTATAAGGACCATACCAGACCCAGAGTTTCCAGGGGAGGACGAGCACTTGTTCTTCGTCATGGTGGAATTCAACATCGATGACATCAAAGAGCTCCGTCGAGTGACCCAGATTGAACTCACCGGAACCCTGGACGCCGACGGCGTTCGGGCCTTCGTTGAGGCTACTTGTCATGATTATTCATGATTGATCGCCTGTATTGAAATAGAATCAGAACAACACTTGAAACAACCCCATTGAGCATACCATCACATATGGTCTAACTCAGGCTGGCGGGTGCCTTGATGGGAAGCAACACCTATCCCTTGGTGAGATGGCTGGATCAAGCGGTATGAAGTCTCTGGCTGATGCAGTTGGGGGTGCGAAGCTAGGGGGAAAGAACAAGAAAGATAAACCAGACAAGACAAAGAAAGATGATGCCAAGAAGGCCACAGTTTTCCTATCTATCAGTATCTATTATCTGTCATGGATCAGGTTGAGGCTACACAGCACTTGTGTTTCATTTGCATCAGGTTGAGGCTGAACAGCCCATCGCCAAAGCTCAATCGTTATTGCAGCGGGTCTTGAGAGATGTCAACGCCTGCAGGTAGCTGGGCAGCATGGTGTGCTAACTTTAGCGTTCATCGTTCATGGGGGGAAAGGGAACATTCGCGACACTGCCGTAAGGGATCACGCCTTCAAGCTTCGTCCACTGGCGCTGTCCACCGATCTCATTACGCAGCTGAAAGCGTGTGCAGTCAAGCTGCAACATTGGGCCGATGTTCTGCAGTCACGGATTTCCAAGAAGTATAATAAAAGCAAATACTATCGTGATGTGGAAGATCAGGTGAAGTGTTTGCGAAATCTCTTGTCATAGCATTACCATTTCATTTTGCGTGCATCTAAAGCATGTAAAGGTTACCATTTCATTATGCGTGCATCTAAAAGCATGGGCAGGTGGAAGAAGATTCCAAGGTGGCGAAGGACCGGATTGATTTGGCCAAAGCCCTGATCAGGGCTTCAGAGAAACCAGCGAAACAGAAAACGTCCAAAAAGGAAAAGGAAGAAAAGAAAGACCAAGCTGGTGCTGCAGAGCGTGTGTCGGGCAAGAGTCCCACTACTGCTTAGTTTCACTTCGTTGAAGCTTGAAGGCCTTAGAGCGCATCAAAGCCAGGGCCCATTTTTTTGGGGGGTTGAGTGCTGGACCAAGTCAGCAACATAGGTCGAACATGGACTTCCAACGGCTTACAATTTCCAATGAGTTGTAGCGGGGTGCTGCACGGTCGCATTCAACAAGTTGACAGGTTGGAGAAATCCAATTAAACTCTTGCGGGATTACCTGCAATGGCATCAAAGAGCATCAAAGGCATTGAGAAAATATTGAGTCCATCCACTCAAGTTCAACTATCCATATCAGCTGACTTTCAAAAGAAATCCACTATTGGTCTGAAACCACGCAGGCCCACATCGACATCACGATCCAGGTCTCCTCCGAAGCAGCGAGATTCCAGTGCAGGCACCTTGGCCGAACCGAGTGTGTGCACCAATCCTCTTAACCTTGCAAGTGTTTGTTCTTCGAAGTTCTTTTGGTGGCATCACCTCTATAAGTATGTGTGTTTGGAGTATGCGTGTTTGGACCTATGAGGTCATGACATCGTGAAGGCCTCCTCCCACTCGGCTCTTCGAATCTTGAAGAAGATCTGTGGTGGAGTCAGGGCCCCAAACAAGTATGAGCAACCGTTTCAAAAGCATCTCATCAACCTTGGCAACAAAAGACATCTCATCAGTCCCATCCCTTTCAACGCTTGGTTTGGTTGGAGCCACCGCCAAACATCCCAGGCCACATCCGCGAGAGATGGTTGCCGAGACGCGGCGCGATTGATTGAGGACGGTGTAGATTGCCCCTTGGCAAGACTCCTCACCAAGTGGGGAAACGGGGGTCGCGAAGAGCGATGTTTCTCCAGGCGTGTGTTTTGCCAAAAGGTGTTTCATGGTTGCAACTGTTTACTCAAATGCCCTCAAACAGTTTTGAATGTTGATGCCAACATTGCTCGTTAACCACAGGTGGTGTAAAGATCTTTGCGCTATTCAGCCGAGCCAAATTATGGTCCCCATGAATGTTTCAAACGTCGAGGGTGAAGAGATCGAGCAGGATTACCCAGTCGCTGTTTTGTGGCCTTGGGATGTTTTAGCTGCACTATGGGAATCTGGTCAGTTTCTCAGGTGGGTCTCAGACCAGCCTTCTGAAGCCAGTGACCGCGTGGAAGAGTACTGGCGACATTGTGTCAATCTAAGCTTCTTTGACCAGCTAGACCTTCAGGAGGGTGACTTTCGGATGACTGTACCTTTGTTCTTCCATGCGGACGGCGTGAAAATATATAAGCATCAGAAAGCGTGGGTTTACTCTTACGCAAGTGCATGCAGGAAAGGAGGCTCTTTGGAAACAAAGCTAGTCTTCTTGCTCCTTCGTGAGCAAATGATCGTGAAGAACAAGTCCCATGACAAAGTTGGTCACACTATAGGGTACGTTGTCAGAACCCTTATGACTGGAAAGTACCCCATGACAAATGTCAATGGCGAGCGCTTTGACACAAGTTCGCTGCAAGCAGCAAAGGCTGGTTTGCCATTTGCCGGAGGGTGGAGGCTTTGTTTCGCTGCCTTCAAGGGTGACTGGGAAGCCCGACAAGTAATCCACAAGAGTACACGCTTCTACAATGCAAAATACATTTGCGAGCATTGCATGGCATCACGTGAGCCCCAGTTCACTTATGGAGACTTTAGGATGAATGCCGCGTGCATGAGCAAGCGGCTCACCCATGCAGAGTATCGCATCCTTCAGGGAAACAAGCAATCCTCATGGGAATCTGTTCCCGGGTGGTGTAAGGAAAGAAACCTAGAAGAGCCTTGTCTCGAAGAAATATTTTGTTTTGTTTTTTGTTTTGGTTAACTAAAGAAGGATGACACCCATGGGTGGACCTGCGCAATCTCACCGGATCCCGGATCCCAGGACGTCCTCCATGTGTACCATCAAGGAGTGGCATGTGTCCTGATCGCCAGCTTGGTATGCGACACGCTGGAATCCAAGTACGAAGGAATCACCCTCAAGGAGATGGACCAACGTCTTTCCCAAGAAGTTTACAAGCACTACAAAACGTGGTGCAAAGAGCGAGCCGCATACACGACTGCATGTTCACACAGGTTTTCGTTGGCAAGGTTCGGGAAGGACACATGGAGCACATATCCAGAGTTGGGATCCATATTTAAGGCAGCCGTGGTCAAATCAATGTTGTATTGGTGCTTGGATTACCTAAGAGGTGAACAACACACAAGGGGAGGAGACGAGCTCAGACCATGTACCATTTTACTCACTTCCAGTTTTTGATGGATACACACGGTCCCTTTCTGAGCAATGATGATGCTCGTAAAATGGTCCAAGCAGCACGGGATGGTTTGGTGGCCTACCAACGTCTTGCTAGCAACGACCGAAAGCGGTCAGACGGGCGGCGAACCTTTAAAGTCATTCCCAAGTTCCACTCCATGCTGGAGCTGACCATATACGTGGAAGAGACCAAGCGCAATCCCAGGTTTCTCAAATAAGATTTGTTTCCAAAGTTTTGTTGTTTATGAGTTGGATTCACACTGGTTCACCTCAAAAACCTTTCTGACCTGAACACACCTCAGGTTCGATCACAACTACCAAGACGAGGATCTAATGCAACAAGTGGGAAGGATTGCTTCAAGAGCACATCCAAACACTTTAGAGTCCGTCACCCTTAGCAGGTATAGGGCTCTTTTGGAACTGTTTGTGCACAAGCGCTCAGATTAATCTGAGCATCCGCACTCGGCAGAAGAAACCGGCAGCCATGGATGGAACGGGAATCGGCGGGAATGATGGCAAGTGATCTAGTTTTTGGGCAAAGTGTGAAGTGGGGTTGCATGTTGAGACTAAAAACCCCACATTTAGTTTTTGTGGCCACGTGAAGTGGGGTTCAAACATGGCTTCTCCAAACTTGCGTCCACCGCGTCTAGTCACTAGATGGTCAGAGAAGCGGCGGGCACGCGCAGGGTCCACTTCAAACCTCTGAAAAAAACAGAACAAGACCAAACCCCCAGAAACACACACATGACACACATATATAAATATATTCTATTATAAAGAGATACTGTGGGTTCAAGGTCTGGGTTGCCGCTTTGCAACTTTCAGCGTTTGAGCACCAAACCTTAAAGCCTGCAGACCGGCTGTACTTTGCAACTTTCAGCGTTTGAGCACCAAACTTCCAGCCCAGACAGACTATACTTTGCAACTTTCAGCGTTTGGGCGCCAAACTTAAGCCTACAGTTTGCAACTTTCAGCGTTTGGGCGCCAAACTTAAGCCTATAGTTTGCAACTTTCAGCGTTTGGGCGCCAAACCTTTTCTGCTGCCCACGACCATTTGACTCAAAGGCTTAAGCTTTAAGCCTTCAGTTTTACATCGCCAAGATGAGCCTTAAAACACTGCCAAAGGCTCAACATGTAGCACTCCTGGCTCTCTAGGAATGGCGCCGGGCATCTTGCATCGTGACTTACGTACATACACACAAAGTTGAAAGTTGCCACCGCCACTTTAGGGTCACTTGCAGCAATTGCGCGACAGGCCAATGTCGTGGAGGAGGCTCAGAATGAAGTCAGGCGCAACTCATTCGAATCCAGCCTTCGCGCTAGCTACCAACGTTTCTGCCCTGCCGGAGGATTGCCTTGCGTGTCTACCATGTGTCGGTGGACTGGAACTATATACAGTCCTTTTCCTTTTCGTTTCGAAGCCGCTAAAAGTCAAGGGGTTCTCTCCAGGCGGTATTTGTCGAGGAGGAGGATTCATGGCTGGACCTTGCAGGAAGCACTATGGGCGCCCGTGGCCACATGCAACTAGTTTCCCCGGTCACGGAGCTGGAGACCTTCCTCCCCAACTCTTCATATGCGAAGTCTGAGCGAAGCCAAGTTCGTGATGTATCCTGACGGTGGCGAGTCCATTGGCCCCAGCGCACGCCCGCCGCCTTGATGTACTGTTTGTTGACGTGGACCCTGCTCATGGCGCTTGCCAGTCAACCCCGCAATCTGGGCTGCGGGATGCATTGGTGTGCTCATTCTCCATGCCTTTGCTTTTTGGAGATTGCGCTGTGCTGACTTATAGTCCGAAAACGTCGCCAGTGGAAATATCCGCGGATGGGACAGTGCGGCGCTCGAGCTCCACTGCGCGTGGGCCCCAATATTATTGGGTTGAGCGCGAGCGTGGCAGACATCAAAGTGGCCAGACACCTGACCTGGTCTTACTCCAGGTCATAGGCAGCGATGGCAACGCTGTTGAGTCTGGCCATTTGCACCTGCAGCGACGCCTTCCCCTCCAGCGTTGTCGAAAAGAGAAGGCCTTGAGAAGGTGCTGCTGGGCGAGGTTGGGTCAGGCGGGAAGTCAGGACGCCGTGTCCGTGTGTGTGTGTGTGTGTGGAAATTTCTGAGAGCCATGGTGGGAGAGCCAGCAGAGTGCGCGGTGTGGACAAGCCCAATCATCATCAACAAGTTTTCCATCTCTAAAATCTCTAAAGGGTAGCAGTAGAAGAAAGGGTGGGAGACGATCGCGAAGGACTCTGTCTGGAGCATCTTGGTAGCGTCGAGGAAGAAGACGTTGTCGACAAAGTCCCGCGGCGTCGCCAAGAATGTGATAAGAAGCAATGTTCGCGAAAAAGAGCAACGGCACTGCGTAAAGCTGGGGCAAGTAGTGAGCCCATGGCATTGCTTGAAGACGGAGTGGCCCATTCTGAAGTACGAGGTGTTGAGGAGTGCATCGACTAACAGAGGAAGGTCGCGAAGAAAATGTGATGATGAGTCTGACAGGTGCGACGCGCGCGGCCTCTGAAGATCCGCTGAAGGCATTCAGCAACACTGAGGGCTGGGTGGTCGGTGAGTCGGTGAGGTCCAAGCACTGGAGTTGGGCGTAGCGATGGATGGGATGATAGTCGATGGTGTGGATAATGCACGGGTGGGTGATGAAGTCGAAGAAACCGGCGATGTCGCGCTGATAGAGTGAGAGGTCGTCCATGGTGTGAAGTTGCCACGAGGCGTGGAAAACACATGAAGAATGCAGTAAATGGCCGCG